CCGGGAGATTTCCGCATGGAATGGTGGTCTTTTTGCACCGTCGAGTTATTCTTTATGTATATAATTCGTATTAATTTTTTTAAAAATACACCATTTTCAAAAGCCAAACGTTTAAAAACCATTTGTCCGATTTCAATGCAAACTCGATTTTGTACAACTTTCGAGGATCTTTTTTGCACAATATAAGGCCCAAAGCCCTAACCCAAGTAATATTTTTAGGAGATTTCCGCGTGGCATGGTCATTGTTTTGTTCCTGCAATTTGTTCTTTTTGTATATATATTGTGTAAAAAACACCTTATTCCTGAGACAACCGTTTTTGTTCTTTCTGTATATATAAATTATGTATATTTCTTTAAAAAAAAACAATATTCTTAGTCGAACTGCTGATTTCGTTGCGCATTCGATTACCCAACGGTCCGTTATTAAACACATAATCATAATAAAACTCTTGTTATATTTTTAGTATTAAACGTAAAATTGAAATACAAAAATGCGCCCAAAATGCTCAAGCACACCGATTAGATATTTGACACACTTCCAGATTCACACTTTAATTAATATATAACAAATATGAGAACAAACAATCATTATGATAAAAATATCCTTCAAAATGCTTTTTACACAAAAGAACATATTTTAACTTAATAAATAATTCAAAAAATTAAAAATGCCTTACAGTGTATTTATTTATACATGTATATCCATCGAAATAGGAAGGAAGGAAGGAAGGAAGGAAGGAAAGAAGGAAGGAAGGAAGGAAGGAAGGACGGAAAGAAGGAAGGAAGGAAAGAAGGAAGGAAAAAAGAAAGGAAAGAAGAAAGGAAAGAAGGACGAGAAGGAAAGAAATGAAACGAAAGAAAAGATTAGTAAGTATAAATCGATTTGAAAAGTGAAACTATAATTTGTGTTTCAAAGCAATCATAACTTCATACAATTATGCAAGTTTAAAGGATTATTCTTTTAAAACAAGGTAAAGCAAAATAATTCCAATCTGATTAAAATCAGCTCCTTATTACCGCTACGCATTAGGATTTGACGGGCACCAATAGGAGGTCATCTCCTGTTACCTTTAGGTGTTGTCATTAGAAATTCAATGTCAAACTGGAGTAATATATTAGCTGGTGTGCCACAAGGCTCAATCTTAGGACCTCTGTTATTTCTCATTTATATATAAAAGATATTGTCATCAAAGTAAAATAATAAAAAAATGCCGACGACACTAGCCTTTATCTAATTGTTGACTTACCTGACACTGCCTCTTCTATTCTTAACAATGACTTGCAAAATATACATTTTGGGGCAAAATCCTGGTTAATCGATTGCAATCCCAATAAGACAGAATCCATGATATTCTCGCGTAAAAAAACCCCCTCTACACCCTTAATTAAAAAATGAACGACACCACAATTAAAAATTTCGATGAACATAATTAGGTATATCTTTTCAAAGTGATGGAAAATGGCACTCTCATATCTCGTCAGTTGTATCCCGGGCTTGGAAACGTATTGGAATATTAAGAGCATTTAAATGTATTCTAAATAGGGTCTGTCTTACAAAACTTTATTTTACTTTCATACGACCATTTTTAGAATATAGTGATGTTGTCTGGGATAACTGCAATAAGTACGAAAAACAAAAGATCGAATCTGTCCAAATAGAATTCACGGCCGCGACTAAACTTTGCAGCATTGAAAAACTTTATAACGAAACTAAGTGGGAAACCATAGCAATTCGCAGGAAAAAACATAAACTGATAACATTTTACAAAATGAAAAAAAACACATTACACCAAATTACTTATCAAACATAATCCCTGAACAAACACAAAATAGATAACAATTACGTAACTTCAATAACATACCAATTGTAGACTCTAGAACTAAACTCTATCAAGATTCTTTTCTTCCCTCTGTAATCCGTGACTGGAATAATCTATCCGATGAAATTAAATCAAGTGCAACCTTAGCAATCCAAAAAAGCATAAAAACTTCACACTCGTTTACGTCTAGGCTGTAGTTCGTTAAATCACGATCTTTTTCGCAAATCTATTGTTAACGACTAACACTGTTCCTGTGGTAACATTGAAACTATGAATCATTATCTTCTTTCTTGTCCAAACTTTAAAGTTCAAAGAAATACCTTCTTTGCAAACATTCAGTTTCCTTTATAACTGTTCAAAATTTACTATATGGCTCTGAACATCTCAACTTTGAACAAAACACAAATATCTTAAGTTGCTTCCAAAAATACATTGTCGCCACCAAACGTTTCACATCATAGTGCTTGCGCATGTTACAAAACGTCCTCATAAGCAGGATTAATACATTATACTAAGTTATTGTTTTATCGGTAGCAAACAACTCAGTTCCACACTGGAACTCTTTTATCACTTTTTTTATAATATCAAATCTCAAAACATTACATGTTATTTTGCCCAGTCAGCCGTCATCCTTGCCAACACACTGAGGAAATGAATTTACATAAGTCTTTGTTTTGTTTACAAAATTAATCCTCTTCCGAATTTAATTAAGTTAATAATTTCTTTAGCATTGTATATCAGTAACTTATATCTTCAGTTTTCCATGTTTCTTATTATACAATGTCTTCTGGTTGTAATGTATATCTATGTTTTGTAAATAAATTCTGGAAATAAATATTGTTTAAACTAAACAGCTAATCATCGTCGAGCTTTCACAATTTTAAAAGCGATGCGGTTTGTAATTTTCACTGCTGGAAAAACAAAACTGAGTAGGTAATTTACACGATAAAGCCGGGAGGTAAATGCCTATTAAAACTGAGTCCATTATTTCCAGTTTATTTGTTTCAAATTACTTCAAACATTTCTTATTTTAACAAACATCAACAATTTGTTTCACTTCCGCGAACAGCAATATTTTGATACTTCGTCCAATGCCTATCTCGCAAGGACAGTTTGGTTGCATGGCTAAAAATAGCTTTCTCGGGAAAGCCGAATCACAACGAAGACGAAACAAATACGGTGGCAATCAGATCTACATGCACGAAAAAACTGAACTTTAGTCAGATTGAAATAATCACATAAAGGAACAACACATAAAATATGACAATTGTGATGCAATTCTGAAAATTTCTGCTCAAAAACTGTCAAATTATTTCATTTAGTTTTCGTATGTTTAGTGAAGTCGAACTATATGTAGAAAAATAAGTTACCCTCTCGTTCTAAATGTGTCGTCAACCCCTAATTATAAAACGACATGTACAAACGGATATTTTCGAGAGCCTCACACTGAACATTTTCTGTTCAAAATCAATGTTTTAAAAGTCATCCAGGTTTTGTATGCGAATGAAGAGGATCAGAAAATTTGAGAGAAAAAGTTGCGCTCATGTTCTGGACGATTTGTCAACCCCTTACGCCATACTACCAGATAACGACCGCACCAACTGAACATATTTGCTCATTGTCAGACTATCGTATTGCAACATGGCCAGCGATTGGCTGAAAAGGCGCAAAGGAAACCTTAAGATTCAATGGAACATGAAGTAATTTGTAAAAAAAATGGACGTTTTAATGTATGAAAACTAATTTAAAAACTATATTTTTTCTTAAGAAAATGAAATATTTCATAAGTTTTTATAATAATTTGTGACTTTGATATTTGCATTTATAAGAAGTGTACGTCAAACATGTGGGCGGCAGATAATTTCAATGAAATGGGGGTAATCCTCTTAAAAGTTATGTTGCAAAAAAACCCTATAACAAGATCATGATTATGTGTCAGGCATTTTGAACATTCTGCTATAAAATCACCTCTTTAAAACTCAAAATTGGTAGGATTAGCTAGGGACCATTTCTCATCATTTAAGTCAAGGGCAATATGTTTTTAAAGGTGTAAGTGAAGCGGATCGGCAATGTCTCGAAATAAAGTTGTCGTTTTATTCTGAACGATTCGCCAACAACTAAAATCATACTACCGTGTATTTTCGAGTGCGCCACACTGAACATTTTCTGCCCAAAATGTGTCAACATCTTTCAAGTACATGTATTTTTAGTTTTTAAAATTCATTTGTACAGTTATCGTGAAGTGTTTTTTTTTCATGTGTTATGAATATTCATTACCTAAAAATATATTAGGCTCAAATATTATATTAGAAAATACAAAATTAATAATTGCTGGATTTGCTCTCTTTTAAAATGTGAAATTTTGAGTACACACAGAGACACACAGAGTAATACAGTATAAATACATACAGTAGTGTCATTAAAATCTGGAATTAATTTTTTAGAAAGGACTGATTGACTTGACCAGTTACAGGGAATCGTCTTCCTTAACATACTTTGCGTATTCTCTTATTCATATTAGATATTCATTTTTTTTTTCTTATTAGCGTCTAACTCTAATATGTGTTAGGTCTGTGATAAGCAAAACAGAAAAGAACAGTTCCCTTCATTAACATCATGATATGGCCTGCAGTTGAAATCAATACTCTCGATATAAAAATTGGCCATTATAATCTCTCAAAAACGCTGAATAGATTTAAAGGAACATTTCTCATCATGCCAGTATTCGGGAAATAAACGGCCTAGTTGAAGTCCCTATACATACAACCTCATCCCAATCATCTCTGCTCGAGGACACGGACTTCACTACCTGGTACCATTTGCAAGAAACCAGTGCTACCAGCGATCTTTCTTCCCAGACACCATCCGCCTCTGGAACAGTCTTCCCCAGACAGTTGTAAGCTGTACAACCATAGACAGCTTCAAGAGGGAAGTACTACAACTCACTCTCCGATAGACTGTCAGGTCTTTTTACCTTTTTACCAGCACTATATATAGTACTTTTTAAATCACTTTGTACATACATAGACACTTCTCACATCGCGCTGCGCTAGTACGAGTATGCGCCGGAAGGTGTCTGTACTATATTGGAAAAAGAAGAGGAAGAAATCAATACATTAGTCTGACCTTAATGTACTAGTCATGGGAAGTAAACGCTACGAGGAGTTCAAACGTCCAACGATTATGACGAGCAAAGGGAGGTTACTTGTGAATGATTCATCAATTGAGGAAGGAAACAAAATGTTTATTTTTTATGTGTTATTACCCATTTTCTTTCTTTTTTCTAATGGTAAGTGTTCAACAACAGAAGAAAACTTTTTTTTCAATCTGAAAAGAGTTAATAGATCTTTAGAATTGTATCACTATTTTCGTTTATAGCCATAGAGGGCGATAAACACTGATAAATTTTATTGAGTCGGCCTAAGCTCGGCCCTAGATAATTTTGCTAGAAGTTGTCCCATACTCACTACGGTGCAAAGGGGGTTGTAACGGTAACTGGACACTATATTGGGGTTATTTGTGACCAAGACCCAAAAAACAGGTGACAATCCTTATAAATAGACTATATATAACACTGTACTATAAGGATTGTCACCTGTTTTTTCGTTTGTTTTTTTTTGGGGGGGGGGGGGGTGGAGGCTGGATCTAGTCTTGGTCACAAATAACTCTAATATAGTCCAATCACCTTTGCTACGGAGTCATCCCAGCCCTAGATAATATATAAAATATGGCAAGGTCTCAAAGGGAGACTTCACTTTTATGATCATATTTATTAGCTTAATGTCTGACTTAATGTCTTGATATGCTGTTCAAAGACAACAGTATAAATACGTTATTAAATAAAAATTGTTTAAACATATTTTTGCTTTTTTTGTGTGATTAACATGCAGTACAGAAAGGAATCAATGTACATGTATGCATAATTCTGTTCTCTACTTTAAAAGATAACGTCATGTCTTTAAAACATCTGCAAATGCAAGTGGAGCTCTTGTCATAGCCCTCTTGTAAGCAATGTTTAAATTGCCATGTAAGATGATAAGGTTGTCCAATCTACAAAAAATGGATAACAATTTACATTTACACAACATACAAAGAATATGAATTTACATTTAAATTTAGAACAGTCCATTCAAAGTTTAAGGGATTTAAATATCAAAATAAAAAAATTGAGCTACCAAAGTGCAGACTTGCCTGGAATCGCATCTTCTCGGCCCTTTCCCTCAAACTTCCGATAAGAATCTCGACCTAAATACTAAGTAGTAACAATACACAGAACGGATATGGTATTTCAGTCTAACCTACACATAGAAACTAAACATGTAAACAAATAGTAATTAAATACTAGGAGTTGAAGCCAAAATTTATATTAATACATATATAAAAGTCCACCTAAATTAAGTAATTTTACAGATACAAAAGTAAACAGTCCAATATTTGTATACTTACTATTATGGTCGTAAAAACCGAAGTACAAAATGTCTACCTGTTGACATTTAATCAGATTTGGTTATAATTGTACACAGTGAGCATTTTATAGTTTATTATGATTGCCTGACATATATTTAATCATTATTTTACCAAAATAGACCTAATTTTCCTTTGGATGTCAGATATATACATTTGTTATACATAATCAAAGATTACACCCTCTGTTTCTGTTTACATATAAAACCATGTGGTAGAACTACTTTCAATCAGTATTAAGTCTGAGGTTATTATTGCCTGGCTCTATACTAGGCTTTTTCTTCAAAGGTGCTTCCTCTCACCATGATAAAGGTACAAAATAACAAATAATGTTTTGCTCTACAGGATGTAAAAGCTGAGACAATATATTTTAAAGTACATGCTCTTATTTCACTCACCACTATAATTTAAAGGTACAAATAATAATGTTTTGCACTACAGGATGAGAAACTTCAGTGATTTTCTCACTTAATTTAATATAGGCCTTAGCCACTTGATTTTGGGGAAAATTATCACTAAAATTGCTGATTTGGGAAGTGAAAATGGTTTAAGTTGAGATTTTTTGGAAAACTGCATGATTTTTAAGAAAATTTCACTTCGGAAGAGGCCTTATATCAGAGTCTGTTATATAAGCAGGAAGATGTATATAATTTTTATATTTCAAAATACATGTTCTTATTTCACTCACTTTTATAATTTAAAGGTACAAATAATAATGTTTTGCTCTACAGAATGAGGAAACTGAGACAATATATAATTATGTCAAAGTACAAGTACATGTTCTTATTTCAGGTTATTGTGAGAGAACAAAAGAAAAGATCTATGTGGAGATTAAGTCAGGTGGAAGATCACCTTGTTTTAGAAGGCTAAATGGGACTCATCAGATTGGATGCACATGTAAGGAAAACAAAAACTTTTTATTTTTGTTTCTTAAGTTTTTTTTAGTTTTTTATTGGAGAGTAAGTTATATACATGTATTGTAGGGAGTTTATGAACTACTGGTTTGATTCGTTTATTTATTATACTTTATTTGCAATTAAACCTCTTAATTAAACTGATGTTCACCAGGCCGTTTTAATTAAACTGATGTTCACCAGGCCTTTTTAGCTCTACTTTTCAAAATTCAGTGGTGTTGGTGGCATTCCGAAAATGTTGAAAAAAAGGCTTGTTTAAAAATATATACTTAGGTTTTACATTGAAAGAAACAAAGCATCCTTCAAAGTATACATCTACAAATTTGAACTGATTATGTATTTTGATATTTTGTAGTGAAATTATATTTCAATAATTTCACAGTGAAATATTCAAAATATAAATCAAATACATGAAATAATAAATTAACTATTTTGATATTTCACAGTGAAATATTCAAAATATATTTTCACTATCTTAGAGCTGTCATCGATATCGACAATATCGATGTATCGTTGATATTTTTTTGTCGATCAATAATCGATACACATTTTAAAAATCGATACTTTTGACTTATAAATTAAATGTCTAGAAATTATACAATTCACCCAAAATATATGCAGAAACAATTATTTATATCAAATGTGATGCTTTTGTAATAAAGTGGAATTATTTCATAGCAATGGTGACAAATAATATTGTCCAGAAAAAATCATGCAGTGGACAAGACACTGTACAGAACATGTTTTTGACTGAAATCATTGAAACAGGTATGAAAATGAATGACAGACAAGTGAGTATAGGATATTATCGATATATCGGTGTATCGTTGATTTTAGTTACTTGATATCGATATATCATTGATATGCTTTGCACTGAATCAATGACAGCTCTACACTATCTACAAAAAAAAACTTATTTATATATAAGAAAGTTTACTAAATATTGTCAAGATATGCATTTAAGAATTGCATTTTTCTAGAAATCAAAATTTAAGTACAACTTTATCATGTTTTTACAGCTGATCCGAAGGGGAATGTCGGTGTTGTATATTATGTGAATAATACACAGTCAGATTTAGATTGGCTTCTAAATGAAGGTCCACATAAACCATATGCTGTATTACTGAATCCGAAAGATTTTCACATGTAAGTTTGTTATTTATTCTTCTACCCTGATAAAATTCTATACACCTTTTCTTTACTCTTTTTGTTACATTTAATATCAGCTTTTTAATTATAAACAAGAAAGTGCTTGGCAGACATGATAAATTGTGTTCATGTATGGTGATGTGGACTGTTACTTTCAATCATATATAAAAAGAAATTAACAATTTATATAAAATCACTATAATCAGTCAACATTTTTGTTCTTAAGCATATTCTCTATTATATTAGCTATATTGCAAAGATCAGATTCTGAGGTTTACCCTCATCGCCAATAAAATCTTGGACTTGTGAGAGACTTGTGAGAGACTATAAATGGCCTCAGATCGATCTTGAGGTAATGTGTAACCAACCCTGAAAAGCCTTTGACTCTCTCAATCCATTGAGAAGTTGCAGCACTTTGAGATCAGTTTTGATGGAAAAAATCAACACAAAATAGTGATTTTTGGCAATTTTTGTATGTCCCCTCATTTCCATGGTAACAGGAAATTTAGAATTGAGCATACCATTACAAAGGCGATAGTCCTGTCAACATTTGTGCCAAGTTTGATCAGTATTGAAGCATTTTTTGCAGTTCAATAGTAATTCTAACTTGTAACAGGAGGTTTTCAATGAAAACAGCCATTTTTAATGCTCATGCAGTAGTGGGTTTAAAGGATATCAAAATTTCTTATTAGGGAAGGCTTTTTTAAATGTGATAAAAATTAAGTCAGTATTAAGATATAAAATTTTCATTTGTCAGTCTGTTTGTACTTTTTCTGATATATAGTTTTTTTTCTACACAACACACTAACTTTTCAAAATTTCATTGATTATATTCATTGTTTTGTATGCAAGTAAATGTTCATATGTCAAAATTTATGATCAAGATGTTCTTTTAATTTCTATAGGAAGACAGTAAAAAGATTACTTGATTCTGGTAAAGTGAATGGTATAATGGTAATACAGGTACCAGATAAAGAACATAAATACCCTCCGGCCGAGGCATTCTCTCCTGATCAGTCCTGTCCTAACCAAGGCTATGGTGAGTATCTCTATTTCAATTCACCCTACTATGGGTTGTAAAGGGTTGTTGACTTTAAACAACTTGTGTCTATTGCTGTGGGTTTGAATCCCGCCAGGAACTTTGGATTCTTTCATGTGAGGAAGCCATCCAGCTAGCTTACAGAACGTCAGTAGTTCTACTCAAGTGACCTTCTTGTCTAAAATAATGCACAGAAGGGCACCTGAGGTTTTCCTTCACTAGTTAAGCTGAAACGTCAACGCATATACTGTGTCAGTGTGACCCAATCAATCAAACAACCAAATCACCCCTAACTGATCACCTCTAGTGAAGAATATTGTTCCCCACTTATCACTCCCAGTGGGGTATAGTTGCTACATTGATGTTTGGAAAACCGAATTGATGTTTGGAAAACAGCAAATCCATTTTAAAATCTCGCCGCAACATTTAGTACATGTACATGTAGTTAATTTGCAACAGTTTTAAAAAAGGTACACATCTAGTTTAGCTGACTCAAGAAGATAAACAAGATTGGCACACTTGCTTACTGGGGCATGCAGCCCACACACCTTGCTCTTTTAAATATTTATTTTTTAAACTACAACAAAATTTAGAATAAAGAATAAAAACAGAGATAACTAACAGACACCATGCACAATTGATTATTTCTGGAGTCTGCTAAACTAGAATCTATTTGAATCAAATTCTTTCATAATTTAAATTTTTTGAAACTTTGAAAACTATAGTTACAGACTCATGTTGCCATTTCATAGTGTCAGGCCAGATTCTTAGTATCTACCTTCTTACCGACTATATACAGTTACTTATTGGTGTCTTATGACATGTATGAAAGACATTCAAGTTCATTGTAGGGCTGTCATTAGATATTGCAGTATCATCAGGGCTCATCCTGGGTGGAAATTTTAGGGAGAAGTGACTTCCTCGCGAAAAATAGGGAGAAGGGAAACAACCCAATGTGTATGCATTAACATGCATGGCTATACATCCTTTAACTATAATATAAACACAATCTATTTATCAGCTATTTATAAGTTTTCTCTAAATATTTGTTTATGTATTTTCATGTAGATTTATTGATAATAATGTGTAAGAAAAAATATGATGAATAAACTAATTTTATATTATTATTTTCTTCACTTTTCATACAAGATAAAGTTACATTGGATATTGATTAACAATATCTACATTGGATATTGACTAACAATATCTGTCTACTCTGTTCTGATTACAGAAATTCTTTTATGACCTTCAATGTTGTAATGCCACATTTATGTGCTTATAATTATGTTTATAAAACAATTTTCAAACATCGAAGAATATGTAAAATATGTACTGCAAACATTTGTGCACATTATATTTGATCACTAAAATTATATACATTCATTTCTTATTGAAAACTTTGACTGAGAAATTATAGAAAATAAATTTCTAATTACCTCCCTTTATTTTCATGAAATGTTAAACTGGCAATATCTTTATAAATAATGCTTTTTGATATTTACAATATTGATAAATCTTAATCTGAGCGTCATATTTATGACATTAAAACTCATATCTATATTGAAACAATAAGAACACTTCTTTCCTGACAAATTTTGTTGTTATATACATGTACACATGATATATATGTATACGACCGATATGTAGCATGCCCATCATGATTCGTAGTTTTTTCGGGATATCGTGCCCACGTGCGTAAGCTGTGTCAAATTTGGCATTTCTACAAAGATAACAATGCCAAACACTCTCATTGTCTACAATATACCAATCGTAAGATTTTTGCGAATTGGGTTTCTTAAATTTTCGCGTAGATGTATCAGAATCAGCTAACTTTCTTTGGACATTTCGTAGCCATGACGTGAGCGACATAACTATTTTTATTTGATGTTAACAGACTGAAATCATTCAAAACATGATTAAGATTTTAATCCAGTTGCTGATCATTAATGAAATTGATTATTTTAAATTGACTAACAGTTTTGTGATAGCCGTGAAAAAACCATTGCACATCGCCTTTACTCGGGTTAAACACCGCGTGTATATCAATTAGGGAAGATTTGCACGTGTTTAGATGATCGGGAAAAAACAATATATAATTATCGCCTAATCCCGTATTAAACTCGCAAAACTGTCACATTATTATACCCGTTTCGGGCCGATGCTCTCATTATTTACTGATTAGAGTAGGCGGTTTATCGCTTTGCATACAGGTAGACGGGTAGTATAAAGCGACGCTCTGATTGGATAATGATAATTAGCAGTCGTCATATGGGCGGATACAATCTCTGCTCTTTACATCGCTAAGTAATTACTCTTTGGGAATTAAGATTTTATCGGCGATGTTGACTTCTCTTTGATCAATTGGGAGAGCGAAATGGAAATATACACGGCGAAGTTTTCGCCTGAATCGCCCTCCCGGATGAGCCCTGATCATTATATATCATCAATATCAATCATCCAATTCAATATCGATACACATTTTCAAATATCTATACAGGCTAAAATTTATTTATTTCTGTCAATGAATATACCTCTCTATTTTGCATAATAAGAGAAGTCACTTTTTTCCAGTTTTCTTGGCTAACTTGAGCAAATGTTAGTGACAAAAAAAACTCCAGAAAAATACAAACTTTCTGTTAGTTTGTAGTATTTGTAATGTCTAATAGCATGCATGATACCATGATCCCGAATCATAACACAAATTTAAATGTTTTTTCAATGTATCTACTGTCAAAGTTGATATTATCAATATATCGTCGATATTTGTCCCTCGATATATTGATACAAAATTTTCCATCAATGACAAATTTAGGTGGATAAGGGTACAGATAGAAAGCTGATGATGATGGAGTGTAAAAGATGTGTTAGTTTTTATAATGATCATAATTATAATTTATGTATTGTAGGTCTATATAGCGGGGATGCTACTTACGGAGACTGTTCAAAGAATCAGTGGAACTCTGTTGGAGAAGGATTAATGTTCCAGGACATTGGTATACCTATATTTGTCCTTAAAGAAGAGTCTGACGTTGATTTTATCATAGAAAAAGTAAGTACCACAGACATTCCGAAAAGTATTTTGACATTACTGGACATTTGGTTCAGCAATCTTGGAAGAATCACTCGACTGAATCAGTTTTCCCTGGACCGTATGGCAGAGCACCATCAAAATAGCGTAAAACTTTCATTTCTTGCAGTCGAGAATAATTTTTAAACCGGATGTAAGTATTTGTTCACGTGCTGAACAGTAAAAGGGATATTACAATTAGATTTTTTAATGATTTTATCCCTCTTACTTCGTATAGGCAAATTTATTGATGAAAATTGTTGATTTGGAATACATAATACTGATAATTACTGTGTTTATTTTAATTCTAAATATTATCTTGTAAAAGTTGAATGTAAAATCTTAAGATTGTTACTGGACAGTCTGACAGGCTCGGACGGAATTTTTCCAGGTCCGACAATATTTTTACCGGTCAGGTCCGTCGGACCAGCACTTTTTGGTAATGTCTGGTACCACAGGACCTTGGTATACTTATATAAATTTGTCCTAAAAGAAGAGTCTGATGTTGATTTTATCATAGAAAAGTAAGTGCCATAGTATAACACTGCTCAATGATTAGAGAGAAAATATTAATGAATGTTGCTAGGTAAATTAGTTTGTATAGCTGCAGGATGGTATTCTGAAGCTCCTTAGTTCAAATCTTTGTCAGGCAGCACATTTTTCTGATCATTTGACACAATGCAACTAATTTGTGGTGGTGATGGTATATGTATATATATTGTATATAGGTCCAAAATAGTTCACATTATTATCTGTACCCATTAGAAACTTAAGGAACAGAATTGAAAAATTATGTAGAATGCCTGTATCAAACAAATTTTCATGTATGGGCCTCTTCCCTCTACAGAAATGTTATTATTCTGTCTTTAAACAACTTTGCTTTCAGGCATATGTTGCCCCACCTGTGCTAATTTTCCTTTCACCAAAAGGTTCTGTGTGCCTCCTTTTACATCAAGATGCTTATTCTATCAATCCAAATTTATCGACTCCTTTGAGGTTTCAAAATATTCTGATTTCATTGAAATAATCCTTAACATTTATTAATTGTTTACTTGTCAGTGCTATAAAAAGTTCAATGCACCATCTGTCAGCGGTGTAGCGAGAGAGTATCCCCTATGCGCAGTACAGTTGAAAGACCGTATGGACGGAGCGAAGGACTCGGAAACTTGTACGCGTAGAACTAACCACCAGATGAACCTCAATCCTGACCGATACTGTGATCCTTTAGGCGATCAGAATGTGTATGCCACAGTGAAAGACGTTACAAAAGATATGAGGAGAGAAGAAAAATCGGTCATTGTTGTTGCAGCTAGGGTAAGAGAATGGTTGTTAATTAATATGTTTTGACTTTCATGCTTTTTTCCCAATATATATATTGTCACTACGGGTTAGATTACCAGACCAGTTCCAAACACGAATAAGCATATTTTTTCCCAATCTTTGAGGGAAAAAAATCTCAATTGAACTGAAATTCTCAAGTTTTGCTGGAGTTTATTCCAATATAGTATCAAACAGAACTGATGATTCCACACATTTCATCATCAAATTTTAATATATTTTTTATGCTTTGAATGATGTTTGCATAGGTTCGAATAAACAGTTTTGCACAATTAAAAATGCTAAAAGAGCATGAAGGAGGTTTCAAAAGGAACCAAATATTTTTCCAACCTAAGCAATTTTACGACGCAAAATTTCCCAAACTGGACAATACATTTTTTCCCAAAATGTCTAGGAAAGGCCCTGACTTCCCCCATTCCCAACAAGAGACAATTAGAAAACATACAGTCTACACTTTTTAGCTCAGCTATCATATTTATATGATAGAGAGAGCTATCTTACGCACCCGGGCATCTGGGTCGGCGTTATACTTTAGGTTTAGTTTTCTTACCATACCACTTATTTCATTAACCTTTTGAGGTATTGCTTTGAAACTTTAAATAATTGTTAATGACTATCATACCCACTTCAAGGTAAGAGGACGTAACTTTTCCATGGATTTTGAAAAAAATTCTTGTAGTCTGCATTATTTGTTATTCGCTTTGTTCTTATTTCGAAAATTTCCCTAAAATGATGAATGGTTATGTCGTTAGTAAAAAATGAATAAGTCCTATTCAGATATTTTGTGTGTCAACAGTTAATTGCTGCATCAGCTGAAGTTTGCTTGGCAACAAATTTGTAAAATTTAGTAAAAAAATTTCATCAAAAAATATTTTTACGTAATATTGCAGATGGATTCTTTCTCCATGTTTGAGGACAACTACCCAAGTGCAGACAACCATGTGTCAGGTATTGTGGCTCTGTTAGCCGTGTCTGAGGCTATTGGAAAGGTCAAGGATAAGATTCGAGATTCAAACACGACCAAAGATGTTATGTTTACGTTCTTTCAAGGGGTAAGCTTATAATGTTGAAATTGCTAAATTTGTGTAATGGGCAAGGCCAACTTTGAATTTGGAACATTCCATTATAAGTTTAAAAGATTTCAATAGTGGTGCAATAAAATATCGGTTTTGCGGTATATTATTGCACCACTATTGAAAACATGCCAAAACATGCCATGTTGAATGGTGCAGCAATAAGTGAATACCAGAATGTTATGATTCAGCATTGTCCAATACATGCAGCGAATAATGGTGCAAAAATAAATGCATACCATTACAATATGATCCAGCATTGTCTATTACATACCATGAATAATGGTGCAACAATAAATGTATACCGGTATGTTATAATACAGGGTTGTCCAATAATCACTGTGGTACAGGATATTCTCTTGTATATTGGATCACAGTATATTCTCACCTACCTTGTACGAACACCTTTTTGTATACTATTTGCTAAAGACTTAAGAAGGGTTAGAAATGAAAAATGTTCACACATATTTGAATAAAAGTGTACATTGTATTAATTGTTTGGAGTGTTTTTACCATTTTGGAAGTAAAAAATGGCTATTGTAGTGTTATATTATCTACATGTATATTATAAAAATCTATATTATAAAAATATACTTTTAAGGCAGGTTGACTGTATCACACTATATCTCAATACAGGTTTGACTGTATCACTGTACCCCTAGATTTCAATAACAAAATGTCACAATTAAGTATGATGGGACTCACAGTAATAATAATGCATAGATTTTGATGTAGATATAAGTGTTTTTAGTTCACAATAAAAACATGATGATGAATTTATTACTGTGTTTCAGGAAGCATTTGACTATATTGGATCTGGAAGAATGGTGTACGATATGGAACATAATGAGTTTCCTCCGTCTGATAATTTGCAAAAGGTAACCATCAGATAGCATGCTTGTTTCCCCTTCTTTTGAAATTTTCAAACTTATTTGACTCGCCTCTTTTAATATGTTTTTACCTAGTTGACACCCTATTTTACAATTTCCAAACCAATTTATTTCCCATCTTTTGAAAAAATCTTGGATAAACTTGGTTACCCTTTTGAAAAATGTTAAACCAGCTTGTTTCCACTCAGCTTGTTTCCATCTAAACCTATTTGACTTTCCTATTTGGATTTTTTTTGGAAAATTTTATACCTGCTTGAGACCCTCTTTAAAGAAAATTTAAACCTACTTATCTCCCCTACTTTAAATCTTCCAAACCTACTTTGTCTCCCCTCTTTTAAGAAAAATTTAAACAGTATTTTATGAATTGATTAACACACACATTTGGCACTACAGATATGATGTCCTATACAGTAAGCAACTAAAAGTAGATTGTGGTCGGACTGCACTTATGTACAAGCAGTGTTGGATTGGTTTTAACAGAATTTATTTTAGTTTGATTGTGAAGGACGCTATAAGCTTATAAACACACATTCAAACTTATTCGTGTAAAGTTTCTTGCTCAAGGAAACAACGACTTGCCCCTGAAGGAGGTTTGAACCCATGCGGCTAGCAATTATTTGTTTACTAGTCAGACGCGTTAACCACTCGGCCATTCCGTCACAGTGTTTGATATACACTCATTCAATATCCATTATATTTGATTTTTGTAGTAGTAAGTTTTATTCTATCCCTCTAATCTGTATTGTATGTGTATTGTAGATAAACCTGAAGCATATCTCACATTTTGTCGAGGTTAACCAGCTAGCCTATAGAGATGATGGAAAAATCTGGATACACACTGATCCCCTCTCACGGCCTAAAATACCCGAGGTAAGTCTAAGATTTAACTAACTGACTTGTACCAGCTCCTTTCAGGTCTACTAATTATAGTGTTTTGCAGGGAATGACCAATAACGTGTCCATAATGCCATTAAATCCAAACAAACAAACTGAGGTAAATGTTTATGTTGTTGTACCTTCTAAAATTTCATACAATATCTAAAACTGGGACAATTATTGTTACTGCTCTTTACAATAGTGAGACGTAATTTCTCCATGACATTTGATCTAAGACTCTTCTTGTCATTTGTCTCTCACCGATGATTCACAAATCATGTGGGATTATAAGTCGGTCACTTTTGGAGGATTTGGTAATTACTGGTCAACTGTCTATGAAAACAGTTAAGGTGGATCCGCAGTGATATGATGAAATGCTGATTCAGCTGAAAAAATAAAACAAACAAACTTTATGAAAGTTGTCAATAATAATGGTGTATCATCAATATTTCCCTCTGATTGGTTGTAAATAAAAATTGACACATTTATAATTTGTATATGCGACACATTTAACAATTTGTTTATGCATAATGAAAGTAAACCCATAGATTGTTGGTGGCAACAAATTGACAAGTGCAGGCCATATGGCCAGTGCAGACCAAGACTACAGTGCAATCTGATCATGGTCAGCACTGTGCACTATTCAGTCAGTTACGATGTTCTTAATTAATTTTATTCCTAAAAATGATAAACGTTTTTGTCAGTTTGAAAGATGAATAAATCCATTTAAGATATTTTGTATGTTAGTGGTGAAGAAAAACTATAATATATTAACCATTTCGATATGTAATAGAATAGCTTAATGCACTTTATTTATACTTTGTACAATATTTCCTTTTTTTCCTCCAGCATGTCCAGAATTTTTATATGAATTCTCAACTTTGTGACGTAAGAATTGAAATACATTTTTGGAATTTATTTATATATTATGTTACAGGTTGAATATATGGTGACCGGATTGAAGGACATAGATCCCTCATTAATTGATGAGGTCGACAAAGATCAGCCGCTACCCCCTGCCAGTGCTCAGTCGTTCCTGAAGAAAACACAACTTCCTACAGTTGTCATTACTGACCATAGAAAAGAATACACAAACAAGTAAGATCTTAATCTAATGACTTTCATAAATGGACTTGTCCAGTTTTTGGACTTTGGAACAGTCTATTATAAATTTAGGGATATCAAGATGAAAATGAAAAAAAAGGAAAATGTAAAGTTGGTCAGGCATCAGTATTGAGCTGGGTCAGACTGCACGAATATGCAGGATGGTCTGGCTCTATACTAGTGGCAAAGGATAATTACTTGCGATTTTATCAGGTCAAGATTTAAAGGGGAGAGGTTAATGTCTACCTGGATCCATAAATCTATTGAAAGAAATTACAGTTAATTGCATGAATTTTTGTTTTCATTTGTTTAGTTGAGCAAGTAGACAATGCCATGTGTCTGTTTTTAATTTCTTGGATGAATCGATTTAGTGTAAAATCAAAATTCTTAAATTATTGCATGTGAAAGAATTTGTTCCCTAAAAGCTGCCAAAAATCACACTGTTTAAACTTTCTGCAAAGAAAATAAACTGTTTAGATTGGTTTCTTAAAAACAGTAGCAGGTTGTATGATCATAGATATAAATGAAAATTTGTAAGTCATGAGTAAGATAGTTTTTAAGCTTTTTAATGTTTTCTTTAATTTCACGAAATGTTGGATATTTTTCCCCAATTTAAGTCTGAGGCTTTTTCCCAAAACAGCTTGAAAAATGTACTGTAATTTTGTATACGTGAAATTAATAAAGGTTGTATACTTACTACATGCATGTTTCAAATTTTTGAAATTTTCCAGTATAGTAAAAGAAAAGAAAAAGAAATTAGAAAGATTTTTCACAGCTAGTTTGTTACTTTTTAGTTCTATTGTACACTTTGTCTGTTAATCTTTTATTTTTTGCCCCTTTTATCACTAAAATATATGTTCTGAGGAAAACTGTGACACATGTTTTGTTCATTTTAGTGTAAAGTCATTTTTTCACATATTTTTCTTAATGTTTCTCAATAAGTGATGTACAATGGTTTGTGTTAAGATATCAAGGGAAAGAATATTTTATTTTACCCATAACTCAATCTTAGAACTTGGTTGTAAATTATTATGCCACCTGTTTAGGAGGAGGGCATATACTGTATAAGTGGTTCATGTAGTGACACGGCAATATTGTCAAATTTCGTGAATCAATGAAAATTGCTTTAATTTCCTCTAGGCTAAATATCAACCAACCGGTCAGTAAATTCTACGCTTGCACAATTCACTAATATTTCTTCACGCGAAATGACTGAAATTTTCAATTTGCTAACCTTTTGACAAGTGAAAATATCCACTTATATACAGTAGATTTGCTCTTGTCCGTACATCTAACTGTTGTTCTGTATACTAACATAGTAGGGTTGTTTTATATTGACATGTTCCTGGTTATTTCAGATTTCATAACTGTATACTGTACATTTCAGATTTTACAACAGTCGGCTTGATTTAGCGTCAAACATCAAAGCAAGTTGTCCTGATAAAACAAACCTTACTGAATGTTATGATACAGTATCTAAGCAAGCCAGTAACCTGACACCTGTGGCCAACCTACTGGCTAAATTCCTGTATACTCTGGCCACGGGAGATAACTCTACAGACAATGTGACAGTTGATGTGAATACTGTAAGTATTAAGAGTTACCTTTCTTGTTTCTTAGCAAACATGAAAATATAACATGATTAGGTTTTTTTTTTAACTTGAACTCCACAGAACTTGTGTAATGACTGTTAAGTTAATCCTTTATAATTATGAAACATGAAATATATAACATATTCAGTTAATGTAACTCAGGTTGTCCCACAGCCTGTATGGACTAGTGATTCTTTCCAGAGTTTACTTTAGAAATATACAGACAAGTAAAGAAATGCCTCAGGTAAAACGGACAGGTAAGTCAAAGTCAGATTTTGCCGTCCCTGGTTACTCAGTAATAAAGTTCAAATTTTAAAAGTAACATAATCATATCAGATTGCAGATGTGGCTTCACACTTAGGTGTAAGCAAGTCATCATTGGTGTAAACTTTCAAATAACTTATTGTTGTGTTATAATGAGGTGTTATTTTTATTTCAGGTACAACATTTATTGTTTTGTTACCTGATATCTCCGAATTGTGAGCTGTTTAAACAGAGTCTGGACAAGGGTAAAGCAGATCAACTAGGTAAGACCATGTCTATGTGAAATCAATTTGAAAATAAATTTTAGAAAAATGAGATATTTTTCAATTTTTAGGATATCAATTTTGAGTGCATTGTTGTAGAATAATGCATGGTTCGAGTTCAAATGCACAGGAATATAATCATGAAGGCCGATATACATGATTGATTAATAGAAAACCATTTGAACGATAACCCATGCATTGTTATAATATATTGTAAGAAAAATTTACATCTGTTTCCCTTCTAACGTGCTAATAAAAAGAGAATTGATAGAAATATTTTGAACTTCATTTAGCGTTGAAGCAATTTTCCTGACATCATTTGGTTTATTTACATCACTTATGACGTGTAAGCATTTTGCTTTGTTATGCTGTTATATATTGTGTGATAGAACAAAGTTCATATATTGTGTAATGCAATTGATTGCCTCTCTGTTCGATAGGGGATAAGTGTGGAGAATCTTCAATAATGCTGAAAGTTTAATATTTTATTTTGGGCTTATATGGCAACTTTTGCCGACCTGACTGCTGCGAGTTATTATTCCACTTTGTATTAGGAATTTTTTTTAATGTGAGAAATCTGTCCAGCTAGTATATGGAATGCTGATATTCTACTTGGATTCCTAATTGTTACTGAAAAAATACTTGAAGGGGCACCTGAGGTTTTTATTACCCAGTAAAGCTAGAAAGTTGCCATATGACCATTACATTGTTGGTTTATACTAACACCAAAAAATTGTATGGTCTGGTGGTTGAGATTACATTTATAAGTAGTTTACCCAATGTGTCAATGTAGTAATGAAGAGAAAGGTCAGTGGTTTCAACCTAAATGCAAGAGGGGCAAGTGGTATGGGCCTTTTAGTACCAGTTAAGACTGGAAAGTTGTCATTTTACCTTAGGCTTGCCATTCATAGAACTAGTATTTGATGATATAACTGATCTGCATACTTGTTACTTTTAGCTGATGAACCATACCAGTTTTATGTTGGTGTCAACACACAGACCAACAACTACACTGCCTTGACCAAACAGATGCTTTTAGTATACCTAGGAGACCATGTTGAAAATGCTACCAAAGACACATGCAAAGTTTGTTCCCATTTAGATATTAAGCTATACTATAATAAGAATAGGGGGAGCTATTGTACTCACCTGGGCGTCGGTGTCACCATCACACTTGGGATAAGTTTTGCATGCAATACTGTATCTCCAAAACTACCAAAGGAAATGTGTAAAGCTTCAATTATTGGTTTTCTGTGATAATCATAATGGGCATAGGTCCCATAACTCGGAGTAACCTTTTTACAAAGTTATGCCCCTTTTCAAGCCCTAAGAATAGTAAAGCACTCTGTTTTACAGACAGCTCTGATTTTAAGCCCAATAATATTATTATACCCCCAGAAACGAAGTTAAGGGGGGTATATATGAGTCAACTTGTCCGTCCATCTGTCTGTCTGTCTGTAGGTCCCCATCATTGTTTCTGACCAATAACTACAGTTTGGAGTTAGGTATTGTAATCAAACTTGGTATATTATAGCAACCTTATGTGGAGACCCCGGTTGGTATTGCATTTGATCCCCCTGGGGTCAAGGTCACCATTTCTAGAAATAGAAAAATGTTTTCCGGTCAATAACTAGAGTTAGGAATGAGATATTGAAATGACTTGGTGTATAGCAAGTTTATATGAAGACCCCGCTTGGTATTGCCTTTTGACCCCTGGGGTCAAGGTAAATGTCATTGTTACTAAAAACAGGACAATAACTAGAGTTAGGGATAAGAAATTGTAATCCAATTTGGTGTAAAGCATTCTTATATGAAGACCAGAGTTGGTTTCCCATTTTTGACCCTCTGGGGTCAAGGTCACTGTTAGTAAAAATAGAAAAATGGTTTCCAGACAATAACTATCGAGTTAGGAAATGAGATTTTGTAATCAAACTTGGTGTATAGCAAGCTTTTATGAATACCCTAGTTAGTATTGCATTTGGACCCCCTGGGCCTGGGGTCAAGGTCACCATTACTAAAAATAGAAAAATGGTTTCCGGACAATTACTAGGGTTAGGAATGAGATATTTCAATAAAACTTGGTGTATAACAAGCTTATATGAAGATCCTGGTTGGGATTGCAAGTAATTAAATTAATTCTTTGTATACATTTGATACTTCATAAGTTATAGGTTGAGTTAAAAAATTCTTCAGCCCACTTATTTTTCAAAAAGTCAAAGTTGATGGTGGGGGTATTAATCACCTTCAGTTATAGGTTTAGTTGCAAATGTTATAAATTCTAGATTTGTTCAAATACCATGTTTGTTAATGAGTAAATAATGTGCCCAAAGTGTCTTTTTAAGTGTAAGATCTCTTTGGATTAAGTGATTTTTCATATTTGATGTAATTATATTGCAACAAAAACAAAAAGGCTGATATTTATTGATCAGCAGATGACATAATAACTGGGTTGTTTTGTAGGGTGGCGAGTGGGTACAAGGACCGTTGAATGAAAATGGAACCAGGACTAATGGATACTGTGTAAGAGGAAATGCGAACTTGTCAAAGGCAGTATCTAAAGCATTTGAAATAGACGGTAAGTTTACATAAGCAATCCATAACTAGATTATTATATATGAAGAGTTTTGACGGGATAATGGCCCTGTATTATTGGTTAACTATGCCAGGGTTTTGTGTTTAGATTGGTAATGATTGTTGACAAATTTTGAATACTGAAGGAGCTATTAGTGATAGTATACATGTACCCTGTTTAAGGACTTAAGGCAAGAGTATTCTATTAGCTTGAGACAATTTAAGTCATCTGACATCATTTCTGTGTGGTAATTTTAATGCCTGAACATGCTGAACAAACTAAAAAAAGGTTGTTTTTCCTAAATTTAGTATAAAATTATTTACAATTTCTTAAGTGCAACCCTTACAAAGACCAGTATCACACATATGTAAGAATTGCTACCTGTAATGCAGGTAGGACCTCAAACTGGAAGTGACATACATTTATCTCTATGTAACTATTGGCAGTTTATGATCACAGTATATAACAGTGTTTCTTGAAATTCAATTTGCACTTAAGTACATATTATAGATGATATGACCCTAACATGTGCCCAGTGGCAAAATTTTAGCACAAGAAATAAATAGATTAACATTAGTGATAAACATTGTAAACAACCATACATTTTTTCATCCCTAATATTTCAAATATAGTAAAAAAGTATTATATTATTCCAACATAAAGTTGTCTTTTGAAACAATAACTGGCAGAATCCATGAAGTTTGCCTATCTATAATAGACTACAGGTATACAGAGTGTACGAGTTCACTTCACTCTATTTAAGTTTCAACAGAAACATGAAAAAAAATGAAAAACATGGTCCAAGTAGTCCTCATATACATGGTTGGGATTTTATTTTTATTTTAAAAATGTGGAACTTACCTTAATTCACTGATTATAGATTCTTATCGATGCAACAGCAAAAAGTAGTGAATAATTTCAAGGAAAATAAAAAGGAAAACAAAAGTTAGATCTTGTTCCAAAATTTTCAAAACATTCTATTTATATAATAATGCACAGAGCTGACACTTAAATGTGCCAAATTATTGGCAGAAATGGTGGGACGTACATGATTGCCTCTGTAGTGTGAGGGACATTCCTACATCATCATTTGTAAGAGTGGCGGAAATTATTTATTGTGTGGCGTGATTATAAATCACCTTTATTTGATTTTAGTAAAAGTTTTTAATAGTTTTGACATGTTTATTGCACTTTTCGTTTGAAATTCTATATAAATGGGATAAACGTTTATTATTGGTTGACGACCTTTTAGGACATGGAATAGTTTTACATTAAGCCCAAGAAAATTTTCTCTCTTATTAAAAATCTTAATAACAAGATCCTTTTTCCAGACTATGATTTCAAGTCACGGCAGTATTCAACATGGGCAGAAAGCAGCTGGCAATTCAATGCAATGAACGTTAGGGTTTTCTTAATACCTAGCAAAAAATTTGAGGTAAGATTTATCGCCTATGTATTATAAATTGTGATTTTTTTTCTGGAAGTGCCAAGAATTGAATGGTTTGCGTTTGTGATTCAGGATAAACAGTTTAACCATTTATGTATTGTATTGAAAGCAGGATTTGAGATCTTATAGGCTTAAAGGGTGTAATGACCATGTGTAATATTCTCTATACATATTTGGGATTTGGGCCTTGTGGTTTAGGTATATACCTCTCAATGCAGGGTTTATAGGTTTGAGCACCGCTGAAGTCATAACTATGTTTCCTTATGTGACAGCAGTGTGTCAGCTTAGTGCAGTCATGGGTTATGTCCTTCTAAATTTAATAGGAGTTAACCAGTTATTGCATTAAGGTGACAAGTGCTGTTTAGTTTCAAGAAACAAATTCAAAAGTGGCTTTATTACACTACTGGCTTTACAATATTTGAACTTAATCTTTTGCCTCTAGTGGCAAATGATCACACCCTTGTATGTGACCAGTGTAGACCCAAGATCAGACGGCACAACCATGCTATCTTATCTTGGCCTGCACTGCTCACTTTTCACTCAAATTTAGAAATAATCCCACGAAATGATTAATGATTTTTCCCAGTTTGAAAGATGGATTAGTCCATTTAAGATACTTAGGGTGCTGGGTGGTAATGGCAAAATAAATAATGCTAATATAAAAAAGTGTATAGTCATGCTATTCATGTATGCTGCACCTGCTTTGAATGAAATTTGCAAGTTTATTTACTTTGATATGATTCTTATTTAGAAACAAACAAGTCTTCTATTTATACCTTAAGATTTTGACACAAAGAATAATGATATAGACCCTAACCTTGTTAAAACAGAAATTGTATTGTAATATAGAAATCCCTTTAACTGTGAATGGACTGTTTTAAGTTCAAATCTGGGTTGATCCATTTCATAAATTTCAGCAAGTTAAGGATTCAAACTTGTCTGTAGAGAAAGCATGGCTACCCTACTTGGAAAAAGAGAGAGAAATCTTGTCCTGGTTTCAGCACAGTTGTGTTAACGTGCTTTTATATCTTCATTATCTCACTGCTGTTTGGATACTACAAACTGTAATTTACACTTACCAAATTTCTCCAAATCGGTGCTCCCCGGGGATGATACATTTTGCAAAAGATTATTCTTTTATGTGTTTTCTGTTTTTAGTTAAGATTTTATTATATTTAAAACTACGGTCAGAGAAATTGAAGGGGTTAGAATTTTGAGACAGAAATACTTGATGCATGTTTTTCATTTTTCAGAGGAAGGGGGTGTGGGGGCTTATTACTTAATACAGTGCAAGCAATAATAATGGCAAAATCTCCTCACCATAAAATAGCAATGCCAGCTATATATCTTTGATGTCTGGCCAGAGTCTATACTGTTTGGTGTCTAATTTTAGTATTTTACAATGTTTATACAAAATATTCCAATGCAACAACTGGTATGAAATTCTACCAGGATAAGATTGCCGAAACTTGAATAAACTGGTATTTCAGGAAGCAAGAAATGTTTTTTATCATCTAGTTTCATGTTCATGTATATATTTGTGAGTTGTAGTTTTGTCTTTTAATAACTTTTTTTTTGTAAAGATAAATTTCAAACAAAAGCTTTAAGGTGGGTTAGTAGCTTTATAAAGTGACACATTATTAAACAAAATGAAATAGATTGATGACAAGAAAGAGAAACCAAATTTTATTTCATCTATAATTCATGTTTGTATGACATGTATGTTTTCAGGTAGTCACCCTGGTAGTAGGTGTACTGATATTAGTTATCTCCCTTGTTGGAGGCTATTTTTTCAACAAGAGATCATCATTACTGTTTGAATCAAACCCGTATGAGACCCAGGCCCCTGTATCACTTTAAGGTGTGTGTATGTGTGTAATATTGCCTAATAACAACTGTTTTGTGTAGACTAGAAGTAGCTTTTGCATGCTTAAAATTTAAAAATGAAAATAACCTGGGTGGAGGAAGTACTGCTTATTGGGTTCATAAATTAAGCATACACTGCAACAATGGTATGTTCCTTGGGCATATTATGTAGTCACTAGTATGAAAGTAAAATATTTGAATATTAGGTTTCAGAAATCTTTATATATATAACATAATTTTGCATGTTTCGTTGTCTTTGTATAAAGGGTGAGAATGCTTGCTTTTTGTATTACCATAAGCAGAATTTTGTGATAACCTTATATATGTATAATGCTGTGTGTATCTACAAATGTATATTTTTATTCTTAATAGTTCATTTTTCCCATACTTAACAAGATTGTTAAGTCATTGAAGGTGAGAGGCCATTCTGACTTGGTTATGCCACCAGTATTGAGGTCCCTTTGTCTACATGTCATCCTGGGCAGTTTTATATGGGTCTATACTATTGGTAGCTTAATTTAACTTTTTAACTCAATTATTCAAAGAATAGGGAGAGCTATTGAACTCACCTGTTGGTTGGATGTCGGCATAGCTGTAACACTAAGAAGTTTTTGCATGCATCTCCAAAATTACTGAAGGGAATAGGTTGAAACTTGATGCACATTTGTCTCTGTGATTATCTTACATATTGGGCATAGGTCCCTTAACTCTGAGTTACCTTTATTGCAGAGTTATGCCCCTTACTGTCAATCACTTAGAATAGTCAAGGACACTGTCTTATAAACAGTTCTTGTTTTATATTGAAATCTTTTAAATAAACTGATTAGTATCAAGGGAATTCATAGCAGGACGAGTGTAATACTCATGTTCAGCAGGGAAATTATTTAAAATTAAGATATTGTTCAGTATCATAGTATATGATGCATAATACATAGGTAGGTACATTAGGAAAAATCAAAGTGCAATTGAAGCTAGATGTTATTTGTACAAGAAATTGTGTCTGCAAAAGTTTGAATTTGACTCAATATTATTGTGTCATACAACACAACAGTTGATGTAGGAACAGACAAACATTTTTAAAAGTAAAATAAACAAAAACAGTGTTGAACTTTATTATTAATGATAATTCTTTCAAGTACAGACAAAAACAGAAAGATAACCACAGAAGCTTTAAGTTATTAGGGGGCAGGGGACCTAAAAATGAAAAAAATTGTATTTCAGTGTGACCAGAAACACAATTCCAAATATTTCAAAATCTGTTTCACAGGCAGATAACCAGTTGCACAGCATGATATATGACATATATTGAAGAAAAAAATAGTTTGCATGCATTGCTCCTTCAAAAAAAAGACTGACAGCAATTTATATTTACCCCCACCCAGCCAAAATCACACCTAAAATATACCAATATGGCAGAGCAACAGACAAGGTGCGTATTTGCGTATTTACGCAATTAATTTTATAAAATACGCAATTGATTTTTTAAGAATGCGTATCAAAATCCATTAAAAAAAAATAAAATACGCAATTGTCTTAAAAACCCGTGCGTATTGTCATTTTCATCACCGCAAAATTAATCTGTCGTACGCTTGTAGTTTTGGACAAATTAATATCGATATGCATGCTATCCGAATATTCCCGAATCAATGCTAACTAATCAACGGTCTCCGGTCTTTGACGGTCCCCGGTCTCCAAAGACCGACTAAGCCATATCAATAAAGCATGAGACCGTCGATTTGTCTACTCAGGTCACCGGCAGAGACCGTTGATTTTGCGGAGACCGTCAATAAGTAGGTCCCAGCTGTATCAATAGACGCTTTGAAAGCAATATGGCGTCAAAACAGTCGTAAATCAAAAATTAGTCAGAAAACGAACTTGTTAAAATATTATGAAATATAACATGAGCATTTTATATAAAAATAAAACAATTGTGAAAAGTTCTAGTAAATTGTTAATCCTATTTTCTTTTTAAAAAAAGTTTAAATTTTATTGATATTGAAATATATCATAAAATTCATATCTTCATATTTGAATACCCAATTAATCTTGAAACCATAGGGTATCGAGTTTTGGAATACCCAATTAAATGGAACCAATACCCAATTCCAAAGGAAATGATGGAGTAATACCCATTTCACTTTTAAAGCTTATCTGTTGCTCTGATATGGGCAATCTTCATGAAGGTGCAGCATACTCCAGAATCCGCCCGATTCCTTTAAAAATATCAGTAACACGCAGTGCAAGCTATGGCATTTTCAGAAATGACCAATAAAGTGTCTGTCATACGTTTAGATTTTTCACAAAATTTATCTGAAATTTCTTACATGTTTGGCGCCAACTGTCAAAGCTTGATTTTTAACATTTTCACCTCCATTCGGAGAGTCAGAAATACATACAAAGCTACCAAAATGCTTAATTTCGGGTAAAAACCCAAAAATACTTTCCTACACAAAAACAAGAAAGAATTACAATGACAGAGAAATATCAGAAGTTATCAGTACATGTACCTTCAAAACACCATGTCTGAGTTATTAAAAAATTTGACCGGGGCCATCATTCGAATATGTCCCCTGCCCCCTTAACTGCATGCTTGTAGTAGTTACCTCCCCTGTTCTGCTCGCTGGATTGCTTTGTCATACATGCATATAAAGAGGCAATTATTTATGTTTATGATTGCATTTTTTTATTATCATTCATCAGTATCTTTCATTATTATCATCTGCTTTTCCATAAAAAACTTTTTTAGTTAATCATATTTAGTCTAAAGTTTTTATTGGAAAAAAATTAATATTCTCATGGTCACTGTCGTTATTCTTATAATTATCTTTAATATCATTTGTATATTTTACAGTAAAATTATCATTGTCCTTATTACAACCATTATCATTACCAATGTCAATATTTTTTTTCTTTCTAAAAGACAAGTAATTATTATGTGTCTACCTTTGTAATTATCATTCAGTACCATGATCAATATAATTATCATTGTTATTATCATTCAGTATCGTTGTCAGTTTAATTATCTTTGTCAATAGAATTATCCTTGTCATTATCATTAGATATCTTTGTGAGCATGATTGTCATTAGTGTTATCATTACGTACAATTATCATCAAATGCAAATTATCATATTATGATATAATTTAAAAAGATAATATCAAATTAGTTACTAATACCATTATTTTTTCAAGTCAAGTTTTAAGACAAAGTATGTTTGGAGGAACTTTAAGACAGAATTCAAATGATCTTTATAGTAAGAAAATCAAACAGGTTGTTCCCCTTTGGCTGATATATTTGGGGGGAACAATATATCATATTTTGTGCCATATTTATCTAATATATATTTTTATATGTATATACATGATTTATTTTCATATTTCAGACTGTCACGTTGAGTGTCGGAGTAATTATGCTTCTTGTTTCCATGGTGATTGTATATTTCATCAACAGCCGGGTGGAAGTACTGTTTGCTGGTGCCCGACGTGACTATAGAACTATAGACACGAACAACGATAATGGCATGTTGTAGCAATAACTTTTGAAATGTTTGTTTAGCATCTTTATTTTGATGATATTTTTTGGTGATATTGTTTGAAGTGACGTTTTTCAAACATGATTGTGATATTGTGTAAAAACTCGCACTATTTCTACTTTGCTTATTTTCACTATATAAGTTAAAGCCATTTTTAACGTGATACTGTCAATTTTCACTTATTTTATGACGTAACATATGATTATAATAATGTTTTCTTAAGACGTAGCTGAATTTTCTGAATATTCAATTTTATTTTTTCAAAGATAATGGACACTTTTACACATTTTTGCCATGTACTTTGATTTTCTCAACATTTTTATTTTTGTAAATGATTGTGTGCCTATTGCCATATATTGGAAGTTTAATTTTATATGCATCGATTGTGAATAACTAGAATAACTAGATTTTTACTTATAATTGGTTACAAGTAATAGATTTGATCTTTGAATTGCTATCATTGAATTTGCTTTATATTTTAGATGATATTTTTACTTATAATTTGTTACAATTAATAAATTTGATCTTTGAATTTGCTTTATATTCTAGATGATATTTTTTTTCCTTTTTTTATGGACATTGTTTGTAATTATGTATAATAACAATTTTTTGCATGCCTTCTTTTGAATTCAGTACAAATCAAGTATTTGAGTGTTAGAATGGAGAGGTGGGGTGGGCTTTTTAGTGCTACCAATTTTAGTAATGCCTGTCTACACGTCTGCGCAGTCTAGTCACACTGTAATAATAATAAAAAACAGACTGCTTTTGTTGGATTAATTTTAGCATTTTGGTTTGGTTTAAAGATATACAATGTATTCATTAAAGCTTGATTGCGAAAACTTATATTAATCACTTATTGAGTCCGCTTCCTTGAACCAACCAGTACTAGTGTCATATGAAGAAACATTGTAGTGACCCAATTAGGGCTGGAACCCATGATCCCTGGGTTGAGAGGCAGACACCTTACCATAAGGCTTCTGCTCCCCTTGAAAATCATTATAGTATTGAAGTTCCTTAAATTTTTATAGAGTTAAACATTAAATTATGTTTACTGAATTCAGTGATTGAACTGTTATGAACAGCCCTGTATGCTGGACATATAGGCTAGTATGTGTGATGTGTACATGTATATCTATTTAAATCCTGTATTATCAGCTAAGTGCAATAACTGGTTAACTATTTTTAGAAGGACTTAACCTGTTATTGCACTAAGGTGACAGTTTGTACCCTGACAGTAGAAGAAATGCTTGTGTAAATTTTGAAATAGTTATGTTAATTCAAGCACCAGTCGTAACTCACTCCCAGCTGTGGAAATAGAGGGTGGAAGGAGAGGGGTGCATAGGGGGCCATTTTATCAAGGATCAAATCCTTGGCCTATTTGGGATAGTCATATGTCAAAATCTATGATCAATATTCTCCAATAATCCCCATACAAGTTAGTGTATTCCCTGAAATTCTTGTCCGCAGCATTGAGCATAAGAAGTCAGAGGACAGACTGAAAGAGGAAAATATCACCTCCACTATTCCAAGGAACTAGGAGGGATAGGAGCTGCTGTTACCATTGACTTGTGCAGTTTTTATTGGTTGTTTTTTTTTGGGGGGGGAGGGGGGTGAAATCTTGATAGGAAGTTAATATCAAATCAAGGTATACTGACATTTGTCACATATGATAGTCCCACTTATTCTACATTCCACTATCATCTATGGGTTGAAAGAAGTAATGACATGTTAATTTGTTTCATTAATATAAACTAAGTATCATGTACATTTATTTTATTTATCATGTACTTTGTTATGAACTTTGTATTATTGTACATTTGTTTATCATGTTGTACAGATTAACTAAGTTTCATGCACATTTGTTTATCATATTGTACAGTGACCATAGTTTCATGTACATTTGTTTATCATGCACAGATGAACTAAGTTTCATGTACATTTGTTTATCATGTTGTACAGATAAACTAAGTTTCTTGTACATTTGTTTATCGTGCTGTACAGATGACCATAGTTTCATGTACATGTGTTTATCGTGCTGTACAGATGACTATAGTTTCATGTACATTTGTTTATCATGCTGTACAGATAACTTTAGTTTCATGTTCATTTGTTTATCATGCTGTACAGATGACCATAGTCTCATGTTCATTTGTTGATCATGTTGAACAGTCTTATTTCGTCATAATATATTTTATGGGAAAGGTCGTGTACCCATCAATGCTTGTTTTGGTGAACTTATTTCAAGCTCAAAATATAAATGCAATCTTTTGGACCTTTTTAAGTGCTGATGCATAAAAGTAATATATGAACAAAGTGTGACAGCATTGAACTTATCAAATTTGGGAGAACATCTACTGGCAACTTGAAAATTTATGTACAAGAGGATTGGACTAAAATAGGAATGTCCCAGATTCAGTCCCTTATTTTGCTATGTAACATGTAACTGTGCTATAACAATATTACTGTTAAAAAGATGTTATATATTGAACAAATATGCTTATGTTATATATTGAAAAAATATGCTTAATTGATAATGTTTTGCTTAATTTTTAATTTAAAATAAAGTCATATAGGATGGACTTAAAGGTGTAAATACTTCTATAAAAGTCAAATATTTACTGAGAAGTTTTTCTTTTTATTTAAGAGTGAAAAACTTTATATCTGGTGAAGTATGCTATCACTCAGATTATTTTCACATTTTTAGGTCATTTCTGGAGTTTTAAAGGTGCATAAAGCCTAAACGAGTATTTCTTTCTTTCTGTACAAAGACCAAACACATGCTTTGTAAGAATGTAATTATAGATTTAGAGTATAGGAGATGCTTGTCTCCTGAAGAAAATTGCACTAGATGTGAAATTACTTGTTATTAAGATAGGGAAATGTAATCAAAGAGGTATAGTGACTGCCAGTCTAAAGTCACTAAATAATCAATAAATCACTATAATTGTAATTATTGTAAAAATGAAAAAGAAACAGAAAATCACTAAGCTCTACGGCCAATGAGTAATTTTTTGTTATCAAACTGTAACAAACCTCAAAGAATAGAAATGAAATTAAAAGGTGGTTTTTTTTGTGTTTTTTTCCAGAAATAAAAGTAATACCATTATTTTAGGCCTAATGGGCCTCTAAGCTGTACTGTAATTAAGTATCCAGTTTATCTAAACAATGTAATATAATGTGTATATAATTAAATTTTGTATTTAGTTTGTTATTTTGTATTGAGTTTTTTGTTATTTATACTTGCTGATAATTCAACAGGCTTGAAAAGTTTAATGCAGATATTTTCTTTTTTTATGGAGATTTTTTTATTATTTATTTTTTGAATTTTGTTCCACAATTAAACAGAAAAACAAACTTGAAAAAGTGCTAGGAAATTGTCATTATTATCATTTATTTGTCTGTTAATATGTCATCTTTAGTTAATCTTTGAAAGATAGTGATTTTTTCATCTTTATCAAATAAATCAGGTCATTTGCCATTATATTTGATTTTGATAATTTTGCAAAGTGACCATTGGGACCAAAATGTTTTTAACTATTTAGATGTAGAAATATCCATATTTATATTGTAGCTCCACTATTCAAAGAAAAGTGTGGCTATCCTTTGAGCCCATTTGTTGTAAAAATATCCATATTTTAATTTTAGTCCTATTCTTCAAAGAAAAGTGGGGCTATACAACTTGCCCATTTGTTGGTGTCTGAACACTGGCTATAAGTTTTGTGAACAACTTTAAATCTCATTCATGTATTGTATTCATTTACTTAAACTTCTTTTGGATAATAATTGCAAGTCACTGACCAAGACACATAACTCTAGCTTAAATTCTTTTTACTCAGTTGTTCCCCTTTTTGAACTTGGACAATTCCTGTTTTATCCATGCACTGAACAAAGTTGTGTAAGATTGTGTAAATAGGAAGTTCATGAGTTAAAATTAACGTAAGTTGTTTGTGTTGTTGTGCATAAACAATACAAAGTATATCAAAATTCTCTACTACATGTATTTATGCAAATATTTGTCAAAGTTTGGAAATTTGCCTTTTTATTAATTTTTTGTTTGGTGTCAAATATTTAAGTCATTTACCAGTTTTATTTGTGCTATTGTATTTATAATTTTTAGAGATACTATTATTTTGTGTGTGTGTGGTTATTGTATACTTGGTAAATAGATAATTTTTGTATTTTTGTGCATTGTGCCTTTTCTGGTAAATAGACATGTTTAGTGGAAAATATTTGACTATTATAATAGCTGTAGTGAAATATTTCCATGACCATAAATAAAGTTAGGAAGTGAGAAAGAAGAAAGTCTAGTGTTAAATTGATTTTTTATGCCAATAGTTCAAATGCAAAAAAAAAGGTTTTCACTACTGTTGTTTTTTATGTTTATTTTGTGTGCAAAGAACATTAAAAATGCTCCAATAAATTATAAATAATTTGCAAAGTGTTGTTTTAATTTGAGATTGACATATTTCTTAATATAATATAAGGTTTTTCCTATAATGTTATTTATTTTCCCCTTCTTTTTCTGATACTTTTCAGATCTTTATATTATATAATGTGCACTTCAAAAGCACATTCGGAAAAGTATAGAAAGAAGAAGCGAAAATACGAATAATCATTATAGGAAACCGTTTAGTGATTATTTATTTTAAGGAAATAGTATCTTCAGAATATAAAATTTGGAACCTACTTGACTATGGCGAATAGAATAGTTATGTTGTCCTTCCGAAAAATGCAATTACAATCAGAGATACTTGTTGAGCTAGTTACATTATGCCTTCCAAAGAGCTTACATTAGGAAAATTGTATGGCTAGAGTTACGTTATGCCTTCCAAAGAGCTTACATTAGGATACTTGTGTGGCTAGAGTTATGTTATGCCTTCCAAAGAGCTTACATTAGGATGTTTGTGTGGCTAGTTACATTATGCCTTCCAAAGAGCTTACATTAGGATACTTGTGTGGCTAGTTACATTATGCCTTCCAAAGAGCTTACATTAGGATACTTGTGTGGCTAGTTACATTATGCCTTCCAAAGAGCTTACATTAGGATACTTGTGTGGCTAGTTACATTATGCCTTCCAAAGAGCTAACATTAGGATACTTGTGTGGCTAGTTACATTATGCCTTCCAAAGAGCTTACATTAGGATACTTGTGTGGCTAGTTACATTATGCCTTCCAAAGAGTTAACATTAGGATACTTGTGTGGCTAGTTACATTATGCCTTTCAAAGAGCTTACATTAGGATACTTGTATGGCTAAAGTTGCATTATGCCTTCCAAGGAGCTGACATTAGGATACTTGTGTGGCTAGTTACATTATGCCTTCCAAAGAGCTTACATTAGGATACTTGTATGGCTAGAGTTACATTATGCTTTCCAAAGAGCTGACATTAGGATACTTGTGTGGCTAGTTACATTATGCTTTCAAAGGGCTTACATTAGGATACACTTGTATGGCTAGAGTTACATTATGCCTTCAAAAGAGCTTACATTAGGATACTTGTGTGGCTAGTTACATTATGCCTTCCAAAGAGCTGACATGAGGATGCTTGTGTGGCTAGTTACATTATGCCTTCTAAAGAGTTGACATAAGGATACATGTGTGGCTAGTTACATTATGCCTTCCAAAGAGCTGACATTAGGATACTTGTATGGCTAGTTACATTATTCCTTCCAAAGAGCTAACATAAGGATACTTGTGTGGCTAGTTACATTATGCCTTCCAAAGAGCTGACATGAGGATACTTGTGTGGCTAGTTACATTATGCCTTCCAAAGAGCTAACATTAGGATGCTTGTGTTGCTAGTTACATTATGCCTTCAAAAGAGCTGACATTAGGATACTTGTGTGGCTAGTTACATTATGCCTTCCAAAGAGCTTACATTAGGATACTTGTGGAGCCAGAACAAGTATATGTAGCTGTACTTTCTCTTTGATGCGATTTTTTCCGTAAGGTTTTTATTTTGCATTTTTTCTTTATGGGACTAAAAGGAAGTTTTGTGATGGGGTATTGAATTTTGACTTTTGATGATATCTAAGTGGCCTACTTTATTCATCTATGTTATCAAATTCGAACCATTCGAAAATTTCACCTTTGATGACCTTTGATGACCTTGAACATGTGAAATCTCTTTTTTAACTTAGACGACATTGATCATGTCTCGTGACCTTTTTTTGTATCCTTGGAAATTTTATGACAGTTCCTTGCAATCATTCTCGGGTGAGTGACCTTGCGCCATTTTGGTTCTTGTTTAATATGCAATAGTTCTTGTTTATTACGTAACTATCAGTAAAAACAATAAATCAACAAGATGAAACGGTTTAAATTGCGGTTATTCATCCTCGTGTTTGTGATAAGGTTCTTTAACAATTATTGAGAGTTTGGTCAGCTTGTCATGTTTTCAATTAATTAGCCAATGGTATCATTAATCTAACAAAATGTAAACATTGCGTTTGTCATGCAGCTATAAATTTTTATTTGAATTCTGATATTGGATCAACATGAAAAGAAAATAAACAGTATTTCCTTTGAATTAATCACATAAAGCGAATCTTTGATCCATCTTTTTGTTGGTTTTCTGTCTATAAAGGATCCCCCACTGACGTTTGACTGATCATTTTATGATAGCGGTTTTGGTAGTTACGCAACATAATGGAGTACAGATATTCCTATTTTCTTGCACAATTGTGTCAAATACTATGGGGTATCATGATTTTTTCACTTTAAATCTTAAATGCGCCAATGTGACTTAAAGCTTTAATCCATCCATTTTGCTCGATGTTTATGTAAAATTCAACTATGATCTCTTGTGACATAAGACAATTATTTCACACCATATAAAATATATAATCAATGATCTTTCAGAGTTTGAACCACGTGATGTTCAAATATAAATCATTATTGAATCCAATCTTATCTTTTAAGCCTCGTTCTCATTTCGAGAGTCCAAAATATATGTATCAAAAACCCATACCCCATACAGTACCGTTTTCATTTACAGGGTCCAAAATATCTATATCCAATTCATATCGTACTAGTTCAAAAAGTCGTATTAAATGCTTATTGTATTTAAAGTTACAAATTTCTGTAAAATTGTCCAAGGAAAGGTGGTGTAAAATAAAGAAGTCATTAAACAATGTTGAGAACAATACTGATTCTATTGGACGAGTACATAGATGTAAAACCTATATTGGTCGAGGTTTGACATATGTGTACTCATCCAATAAATTCAGAGATGACCTAATAGTAAAGACATTTGACATGCAAGTAGGCGTGTGATATTCGTATAGATATGGTAGGCATTTTGTTAAATGGTCCTTAGAATGGAAATGGAAACAAACGTACATTGAAAGACAAACAAACGTCCGAGGAATAAGTTTTTTTTCAGTCACTGTTTCATTGATGTTATTTGTTATATCATATAAAAACAACAGAGCATGGCTCACTCTGAAAGTTGTTTATTTTACTATACTAGATCTAGTATAAATTTATAATTTGTTATGAAAATTATTGAACAAATATATGACACTTATTTTGACAAATAAGCATTGAATCGATTGAAGATAATCTATATTTGCTTAAGATAATCTATAGGACCAGCGGAGGTTAGACCTGCTAGCACAATGCTAATTCTGAGACTTAATTTCTGTCTGCTTTACTGTAGTGGTTTACTATTTACTGCAATTGCAGCCAGTGCATGTCATTTTACGATTATTCCCAAGGAATTAATAGCATGTATAAGAAATTGATACCATTTGGCATAATGGCATAAGGGAATAACAAGTGACTGTCAAACTTATAGCACATACGGCAGTAAGTACAAAGAAAAGAATTGCATTAAAACACAAAGGAGTAGTGATCGATGCCGCACTGTCATAGTAGTCGAGTGATGTCGTATGGATGTCATTAATTTTTGTTTCCAGTTAAGAAACGGATTATCTTTATAATAACATAAAAAATATCAGTATGCACACACTCCGACGCTTTGCTTCGCTACACAGCCATTTGAGCGTAGCCATTAAAATCACTGTGAAGAGTTCGAAAACAGTATAGCTCTTGTTAGAGATATCCGTATAAAGTTATTAAAGCGGAAAAATGTACTTTGCTACGAAATACATTTCTTGTGAAATGTTTCAAGGCAATGAGTTTTACGGGATAAAGTGATTTGTGAATACGGAGATTTCTGGTATGATTTTTTATCGAAACTTCAAAAGAGTGAAATAATATTCTGCCAGGATCTGCTTCAGTACATTAAATGTTTAAACGTATCCTAGCCAATTTAGTCAATTGAAGTTCTGAAGCATTCTTAAGCAATGTTTTAAAAAGGAAGCCAATTTAAATGATTTCTTGTGTTCACCGGAAGTGAGACGATGTTGACGTTTTATCGTCTGCGTTAAAGTCGATATTGGCAGCTTCCTGCTGCGACACGTTAACAAACTAATTCTTACAATGCAACAAAAGAATTAAATGCTTGTAAAAGAACAGTTTGACAGCAGACGATAACTTTTGAAATTTATTGAATTTGGTATTATTCTTCCTCTGTGAAAGACTTGTTTTTTGAAAAAAAAATCAAACAAATCAATTTCATTCGTTTCATAAATCTGTATGCCAAAGATTTGGTCTAAATAACCAGAAACGGTTCCCGGATACATTAAACAATGCGTCAAGACATCAGTCTGAAAACCGGAAACGAGACGGCACAGAAGTAGAGAGAAGGTTACAAATTTAAATGGAGTGCGTTAAAATGTTTTAAAGAAGACGGAAGCGTAAGAGATTGACAACAAAGTGTGTCAGAAAGAACAGTGTGGTACTATGGGAACTTAACAAACATTTGTATTTGAATCACTCTAATTTCAAAGATATAGTATTTGATTCATAATTGTATGTTTTCCTTATACAGCATTATACACGAGTAAAAACATTAACTTATAAATTCTCCGTCTAAGGGTGGGAAAAATGAAGCAAAAGTGTCATGTTATTTACCGCACACGAATTTATAAAAATACATAGATTTACATTTCTTAACAAAATATCCAACTGCTATTTTTATGACATTTTATATTTACGGTATCGCGCATGCGTCACATACTATATCGGAAATACGACGAATTTAATTTTCGTAATTTAAGTTCCTCGGTAAAGTGTCTTTTATCAAGATATAAACAAATCTTCTACAGACCACAAAGAGCCAAAATAGCTTTATATCCTTTGAAAAGCTTTTTGTACAATCAAATATGACATCCCGCGCTTTGTTCTAGTTTCTATGAACTGATAAAATGCACCAAAGCCGGATGAACTATAAAAGTGATTTTGGCTTTGATTTAGCATGTTATTAATTATTTTTGAAAAGAAATGAGCCATGTACTTTTATGTCAGTGGAGATATGGCATCGCAATTGAATTAATACCTTAAAGAAATCTAATAAACTTCGAGAA